CTTGCATCCACCTAAAAACCTTTATGACCAGAGGAATATTAAAACACTGATAAATCAACTCCTCACCTTACAGCCTAAGGCTCGTCGCTTTACATTATCAGTTTCGGTCGTTCCTGCTGCAAGTTCTCAATCTGGCAACCCGAGTGAGAGTTGAGTCTGAGGAGGAGAAACAACTCTCCAATATTGTGAATTTGGACTGCAGTACCACTTCAACCACTAGCTGTCAGTATTACATACTGCTCCTTTAACATCTCTTTCTTGACTCATTTAAGCAGAAAATTGGATTGCAAATGCACAACACTTATTTGAGAGATGTTGCTGTGTGATGTGTTATTGAGACACTGTACCGTGACCTCTGACATCCCTCTGTCCTCACTAACACACGTGTGTATGTCCAGTGAAACACTGAGCAGAACACTGGAACCATGAGCTCATGCAGTGATGGTTCAGGGCGGCACAGGTCCGTGTTTGTGTGCTGATGTCAGTATGTTTGTGTGTGTGTGTGTGTGTGTGTGTATGTGTGTGTGTGTGTGTGTCATGACATTACATCAAAGGGAAAATACAGCTAAAGCTGTTAGGGGCCAAAACATCCCACAGAGACGGTGGAGATCCAGCTCACATCTGGAGAAAAACATCTACTGACGACTGGAAACGCCTCTGAACCTCAACATGCAGAGATACAAGTCGAGTTTATTTCTGAAGCACTTTATACAATACAGATTCATTCAAATTAGATTCACAGTAATAAACCAGAATATAACAGTGAAAATGTTGTAAAGTTCAGCTCTACAGAAGACAACAGTGTCAAAATATAAAGTTTGGATTATTGTCGCTGTGTTTTGTTTTCACATTTTACTGCTTTATTCAATTTCTGTAGTATTTTTTATTTCTCATAGATAAATCTACTGTAAAAAAAATTTTTTCTAAATTGTGAATAAAACAAAGATTATTGGAGAATGTTTTATAAGAAAATACTATTTCAGTATTTCTATTTCAAAATTTGATGCTTAATTCACTGCCATGAATTGTTTGTGAAATTAATTTCAGATTAACTAATTTCAGTGAAAATTATTTTCAATGTACCTGAAAAACATAAAGCACTGTTTATTTCATTTCTATCTTTGTTCCAATTTATTTTCCTGTAATAAGTTTCTTTGTTCTTATTTTATTATTGACTGTTTGCTTGTCTTCAATACGTTTGAGAACTTTATACACTTTCAGTGGTTTCTAAAAGGTTTGTAACATAACAACAGCATTTCAAGTAAAAACATTGTGAAATAAAATTACTCATATTGTGATGTAAAATTGCAGTCATATCATCTATAAACAATAAAATCTTGAAAAAAAGTGCTTAAAATAACAAGCTGTTTCTCAAAAGCATTGTAACTTAAAAAATAAAAGCATCAATAATTTAGTGCTGTTCACTATTAAAAGTAAAGGTTGTTTATTGGCATTGACGATTCATGAAGAATCTTTAACATCCATGGAACAACTAAATGTTCTTTATAGTAGAAAAAAGTTATTTAGATTATTAAAATGTTCTTCACACTAAGAAAAATGATCACTGAAAGAAACCAAAAATAGTTCTTCTATGGCATTGCTGTGAAAACCCTCTAGGAACCTGTATTTTGAGGACAAAATTAAAAACAGTCATGATTTACTGCAGAAACAGACACACGTTACTCGTGTTTGAGCTCATCTAGACGTCTTTCCACTGAATCCTCCTCCTCTTCCTCTGCAGCTTCATCTTTTCACACGTCTTTCTTACAGACTTCTTACAGTCACACAAACACATCACACACAGTCTGTAATAATCTTTCCTCTGAATAATGAATCGTCAGTGTAAATGATTCAGAATGAGGACTATCAAACACACAGCAGTCATTGTAACGTCTGGAGGAACCTGAGAGAAAGTCAAATAAAAGACAATGATTGTTTCTCATGGTGTCGTCTGTAAAAACAAACCTGCACTGCAGTGATGAAACATTAAAAATCAAACAGTGATTAGTTCACATGCAGAAGTGAGTTCTGTGTTCCTGTGAACCTGGAAATGCTCTTCTCAATGTGGTCAATCACATGCTCAACATTTATTTATATATTCTATTTAATATTAGGAAATTTGATGCACTATGGTTTACTCTCCACATGATGAATTTCAGTTTAAAAATGAGCAGAAATGGTACAAAAAAGGTACAGTGAGCATTGTTTGTTGGTTTGGCTACTTGGTCAGGTTAATTGATTAGTTGTGCAGATTCTAATTCATATAAATTAGCAATATCACACTCATAGCCGTGAGATATGACACATCGGCACGGCTGTGCTTCGGCCATAGGTAATCACAGCGTGCCGATATACTGCCATACTTGTGTGATATTGTGTTTATACAACAGCTCAATGACACAAGTGTTTAAATACATAAGAAACAACAACGGAGTGTCTTTTAAAGCCCTCTTTTGTGCAGAACTAATTCCTTCCACCACGGATTCAAATCTGAAGTTGACAGTTTAACAGCTGAGCCCAAGCCTCCATTTCTAATTCCAAAATGTCACTTTAGAACTAGTAACGAAGAAACGTTAAGTTGCTTCATTAAAAGCTTATTGTATTACTGTATTAAAATCTGTAAAAGCTGTGTATTATGTGGAGTTTAGTATTATGATAGAGAGAGATTGACTGAACGAGTGTGATTACCTGCATCTGATACAGCATTCATTCTTCCGCTGAATCTCATATCCACAATAAAACATTTTTGAATGTCCGCTGAGGAAAGCGATATATTTGTCGTACTATCCTTTCATCTGTTAAGGGTGATTTCCGATGACAGCGCAGCTCAGTGCATTTGTTGCCTGCGTCTTACAAGCTGTTGTTGAAAGTACAAATAATTTCCTGTTTCAGTCGCTTTCAATATAAAAGTCTTTACTGCTGACTCATAAAATAGTCTCTTGTCGCCATCTAATGGCGGAATAATGAAACTAATCACAATCACGAACACACACACACAGTTTCCCAATACTATACGATTGTTAAATACTACTGTTATTTATATAAAATATTATTTATTGAATAATAACATTTAATAAACATCAACAACAGCCATTATGAAAATTACTAGGCAATTCAGTCAAAAGTACAAAGACAGTGTTCTGATATACAGCATTGAAGTTACATAAAAAAAAATAATGTAATGAGATTTTGCCCTGAGCCTAAACTATTTGCTTTGGAACAAATAATAGATAAAAAATAAAACCTTGCCCCTTTTAGACTTGCACTCTATTCATATACTAACTGCTTGTTTTCTTTAAAAAATATATATATATATATAGCACTAGCTTCTCTATTCTTTTTGTATTCTATCTATTTCTTTTTATTTATTATACAATTAACAAAAGCAAAAAAGGCCTCTAACAGTAGCTTGCTCTATTCTTTGTCTATTCTGTCTGTTTTCTTTTTATTTATTATATCATTTAAAAAAAAAACTTGCTACGTGTACTGCGTTAAGCTAACTGAGACTTGTTATAGCACTTGCATATCATTGCTCTTTTGTTGATTTTGATTGCTTCCATTGTCCTCATTTGTAAGTCGCTTTGGATAAAGGCATCTGCTAAATCACTAAATGTAAATGTAAATATAGATTAACAAGACCAAAGACTGCCCACGAGATTTACCCAAAACGAATTATATCTCATGTTTAACCACTATAGAGACATCAGAGCCAGCGGCAAATCCCAGAAGATCTGGCTGAGGTAAGGCTGCTCTCGGCGTGTCCATGAGCACTGAATGGCCGCTGACGCCCTGGAGCTCACATCCCCGAAAACATTGAAGTAAATTTTCAAATAGACGTTATCTTTAATAACAAACCGCATATTTAAAGACTAAACAACTATATTTTTGCCTAAAAAATTCCTAAAACTACATTCCATGACACAAAACAGTATTATTTATAAAATTATAGTGGATTTGGGTGGCCTGCCGTGCCATTAGTTAGAATGTGAGAAATACCGCAAGCGGAATGATACAAACCGTGAAACGGTTGTTGGAGTTCTGTTATCACTCTAATATCACACTCTTATCAGCCAATCAGTTTCGAGGACCAGAAAGAACTGTTGTATAAATGTATATAACACATATTTTAACATGTTATTGTATCTGCTATACAATAATAGCCTATTTCAAAAGATTCCAAACTCTTTTTTTTCCTTCTTTTTTTTAAATTGAGAAATATACAGGTATAATTGCGATACAGCCTGATGGAATAACAGCCATAAATAGAACAAAAAACAAGAAACAGCTGGATTCAGACAGCAATAAAATCACACACTGTCCCCTGTAACTGTTGAAAATATATCACTGTTAGATTGTGCCAACATCCTAACGACTGCGCCAAAAGCATAAGATCAAATCTCCATGACAGGAATACCAGATCCTGTCAGTAGACATTAATTTTATCTAAAACCCAAAACCTGCAGTAACTCAAAGTCTTCAATCAGCCTGAGAGGATAACAGAGGAAATCAGAGAAGAGCAGAAAGCAGGAGATAAATTATGATAAAAAGAACCTGAATAATCTTACTTGTGTATGTTTCGATGCACAGACTTCATCAACAAATGTTATCATAACTGAAAACTATGTAAAATTACTGCTTCACGACATCATCCTGGGATGTTAAAAAACCTGGAAATTGAGACATTCTTTGATCTCTTACTCATGACAAGACAAATATCCCTTAAAACCATGCAATCATTAGATAAAACAATATTACGGTTATATACATTCAGAGAAGCTGCTCTAAGTGTGTGTTTTCACAGGAAGTGAGCTGCTATACTGTCTATATGAGGATTTATTACACACATTTATTCTGACATGTTATTTCACTGAAAGAATTTCAGCTGCAGTATTAATGTCATGAAGAGAAAAGAAAAGACTCTATAACATCTCACTGTTACTGATTCATCATGCAGCTCAAAGCATTATGGCTAAAATCTCTCTACAGTCTATTCTGACTCATCAACACAGTTTCACTGATGATCCTTTATGAATATTAAACCCAGGATAGAGCGGCTGAGTGAATGTGGTCTGAAATGTGTAGATGAGGCTCATTGTGTCAGAGACGCTGTAGAAGGACAGAGTTCCTGCACTGTGATCCAGAAACACTCCTATTCTCCTGCTGATGTGCTTCACAGGGAGACGAGTCTCTATGTTATTCTGTATGAATGAATATCTAGAGGGAGTGCAGAAGAAACTCCAGGACTGATCATTACGTCCAAACAAACACTCATCACCTCCCTTCCTGCCGATGCTCTTATATGACACTGATATAAACACACCAATATTTCCACTCCACTGCACCTCCCAGTAACAGCGTCCACACACACTCTCTCTACACAACACCTGACGATACACATCAAATCTGTCTGGATGATCAGGATACGACTGATCTGTGCCAGTGTAAGTAATAACTCTGTTGCTCTCAGACAGAAGGAGGCTTTTATTCACTGTGTTGGACATTTCTAATATGATGTTCTGCATGATATGAGATGATGATGGACCCCCATCACAGACCATTTTGAGATTGCACTTTTATGAAGTGCAGGAACACAGCTCTTTCACCTCTAAGCCAGATGGGAATCCGCATCTTGAATTACCGGCTGATGCTAGCCAAATCAGAACGGGAACCTATCGCTCACATGTCATTTTTGCTCAACCATCTGGAGCATTTTGGGCTGAGAATCAACTCAGCCAAGAGTTTTCTGACTCCCAGACAGCGAGTGTGCTTTCTGGGAACAGTTATAGACTCAGTTCAAATGCAAGCCCGAATTACGCCGGAATGCTCCCTGAACATTCAGCGAATTGCGGCATCATTCAAGTTGGGGACTACGTGTCCCCTCAGGGTGTTTTAGAGGTTGCTTGGCCTCATAGTGGCCGCCTCCTCGTTGATTCTCCTGGGCCTGCTACACATGCGGCCCCTCCAATATTGGCTCAAAACTCGTGTTCTGTCCCACGCTGGCGCCTGGGCCGGTGTTATATCAGGGTAACTCATCGCTGTGTCAGAGCTGTGGCCCCCTGGACAACTCTTCACCTGTTTTTATCAGGTGTGCAGTTGGGAGTGACGTCCAGAAGGAAGTTAGCCACAACGGACGCCTCCAGTTCGCGCTCTGTATGCGGGCAACCTGACGTACGGCTCCTTGTGCTGGCCCAACACCCATTTGTATGCCTTCCCTCCAACCACCCTGCTTCCTCACGTTATCAGGCAGGTCAAAATGATCAAAATGCTCACTTCTCCTAGTGGAGGAGAACCAAACTTGGCTCACAGAGCTGATTTAGCTGCTGTCTGCAGCCCCATGGCCAATACCATTGAGGAGTGACATTCTCTCGCAAGCAAAGGGCAAGATTTGACATCCCTTTTTGGCCGTGTTTGGCCCCTCGACGGGAGTCCAGCCAATTCCTCGCGGGAGTCACTAATACCATTTTAAAGGCTAGAGCTCCATCTACAAGATGTCTTTATGACCTTAAATGGTCAGTCTTCTGTGACTGGTCTTCAGCACGAAGCCTGGATTTGTATTCTTGTGCCATGTCCCATGTGCTAACCTTCCTTCAAGAGTTGTTAGACAAGGGCCGTACCCCTTCCACACTCAAGGTTTATGTGTCAGCCATCACGTCGAATCATTCTCTCGTGGCTGGCCGCTCTTCTGCAGAAACAACCTGGTGATTAAGTTTCTAAGAGAAGCTCAGAGACTGAACCCGCCTTGCCCTAGAACTGTGCCGACATGGGACTTGTCTATAGTCATCCTTTTGAGCCGCTTCAAATGGCTGGCTTGCGGCCCATGTCAATCATAACTGCTCTGCTCTTGGCATTGGTCAAATGAGTAGGTGACTTGTAAGTGCTGGCACGTCCTGTTGGGGCCTAACGACTGTAAAGTCGTTCTGCAACCGCAAAGTGGTTACGTACCTAAGGTGCTCTCAACTCCATTCAGAGCCCAGGTTATTTCCCTGTTAGCTCTCCCTACGGCGGACGGCGAGCAGGGTCCCAACTTGCTGTGGCCTGTTTGGACAATCAGAGTGTACATTGAGCACTCTGGGTTGTTCAAACAATCAGAGAAGCTCTTTTTGTGCTTTGGAGGCCTCTTTAAGGGGCTGTCAGTCACAAAGCAAAGACTGGATAATAGATGCTATAGCCCTGGCTTATGCCGCAGTTGGCTTGTAATGCCCTATAGCTGTGAGGGCCCATTCCACCAGAGAAATGGCCTCCTCCTGGGAGTGGTAGAGTGGGATTTCTATCGGGGAGATTTGTTTGGCCACCGGATGGTCATCGCCATCTACCTTCATTAGATTTTATGTCTTTATGTCCATGAGGCCCTAAAATTTGCTGTGGTTAGGGCAATTGGAATAAACAAATTATTTATAAATAAATAAAGGCTATATTGCAGGCTCTTAATTATTGAATTAAAAATTATTAGAACTATTAAAATCTCCTTTGTAGTTGCACTAATGGAATGCTACTGTAATTCAGGAATTATATTAACTGTAGTATTAGTAAGATCATGAATCAAGCAAAAACCATATTCCTTATTACCATGGTTTTATTGCTTCTTTTCACAAAAAAGTCATGGCCTAATGGTTAAAGAGTTGGACTTGTAACCCGAAGGCTGTGGGTTCGAGTCTCAGGTCTGACAGGAATTGTTGGCGGGTGGAGTGAACTCTCTTCTACCTTCAATAGCATGACTGAGGTGAAACCCATTACCAAGGCACCGAACCCCCAACTGCTCCTCGGGTGCCACAGCAATATGGCTGCCCACTGCTCAGGGTATGTGTTCACTACTCTGTGTGTGCACTTGGATGGGTTAAATGCAGAGTATGGGTCACCATGCCTGGCCACATGTCACTTCACTTCAATATATTTATGGAGGATTGTGTTGCCGGATGGGCTGAATTTTAGCCCAAGTCCAAGTCCTCCTCTAGGGCCAGAAAGAAGACCTTCTAATTGTAAAATTATTTAAAGTAAAAGAATCATATCCTTAGAGGTTGTTGCTATTTCTGGAAATGGGTTTGCGTTGACTTCATATCTGGTGTTAATGCATTTATGGTTATAACATATTTTAGTTTAGAATATTTAGATATAATCTAAATATTTATATTTATATAATCTAAATATATTATATAGATATAATATTTATATTTTAAAAACAAAAACGAAATATTCCTCTTGCAGAAAACATTGTGGCACCAAGATAGGCTACTAGGAAGTGGGCCCTTGGGTTTGCTATAGCCCAAAGGCCCAAAGTTTCTTAATCTGCATCTGATGTTGGTGAATGTGACTGTGGAAATCAACAGACATGAACAGTGTGATTCTCATGATCCTGCATCCATTCCTAAGGCATTTCTAATATGATGTTCTCCATGATATGAGATGATGATGGACTGGTTTCTGAGAGCAGATGAATCTCCAGGACTTTACCTCTGTCTGAGATCTTCTTGAGCTGCTCTTTGCAGAAATCCTCCAGTTTGTCTCTCAGCTGATGGACAGATTCTCTCAGGGCACCAGAAGAGAAGAGAGAACTGAAGAGATCGTCATTTACGTCTGTAGATTCAGGAGGTGCTGAGAGAGACTGGAAACTCTACAGAAAACAGAAGTCAAAACTCATCAGCTCCACACTTCACCCAATAACCTGCAGGAACATCAGATTTGTTGTTCTTGTTGACTTGACTGATCTTTAGTAACTCACCTCAATCCAGCACTTTCACAGCATCAGCTTCATTCTTCTCATATTCATTACATCACATTAGAGCTACAGATTCTAGTATTCATCACATACACTATAGGTGAACTTTCTAGGAAATAGTTTGGATGATAAAACATCTGCTAAGAACATAAATGTCCATTTAACAGCTCAAGCACATCAATGGAGTCTCATTGTAGAGTTGAGTAGATTTGCTCAGGAAAAGCAGCTCAAAGGCTA